ATCGTGCAGTACCGATAAATGATAGCAACGGTTTTTACCTTTCTCAGACCACCCACATTGATGATACGAGCCCCGTTTTAGTCCATCTAAACCCATTCAGCTTTTTTACTTCCTGCAAATTAAAATGTCAACACTAAGAATAGGAACTCATAAATCATTCATAAACACAGATTCTAACACAACCTAATGATATATAATAGTATAGCACCCATGTGTCAATGGTTTTTTGACCCGGTCGACTCGGAGCCAGGACCAATCTGGGTGGGTACTACTTGGTAACGGCAAACAATGGACCCGGTCAAAACTCGGTCACCCAGTTGTGACCCGATTGCCCGGGCACTTACCCAGCAAGGTCAACCTAGTTCAGCAATTGAACCAACTGCCAGAAAGAGTCAACTATAGGGTCGGGTTATTGTCATGTATTACACGGGGTGTTAAAAAGAAATTTGTAGTTAGAATTTTCTTTAAAAATTTAAATTTAAAATTGTAAATTCATCTTAAATGTCACTTGTCAAACGTAAGAATTGGTCGTAAAGGAAGATATAATTATTAACTTATTTCCTGATTAATTTGTTACACCGTGTATGAACTTATTTCCTGATTAATTTGTTACACCGTGTATGAAAAACTAATAACATGCAATAAAACTATTAAGTTCTAAAATGAATTTAAGTTTTAAGTTTAAAAGTCCTAATAGGACTTTAAATCATTATACACCAAAAAATTGAAAAATATGATTATGGAACACCAGAAATTGACAAGATAACGAAGCACCACAAGTTTACACTTAGACTCGGAAGACTCTGCATTTAGATATTGAGGGATATTCGTGCATATACAACACATCATCCCAATGCTTACCTAAGATTAAGACAAGTGGTTGCAAATAGGTAAAAGAACTCAGAGAGAGAACAAATTTATAAATATTGTCAGAATTACACTTATTAATATATATATATATATATATATATATATATGCCATTAAGGAGTAAAAGAAAAGATACCACAAAAGCACAACAGTACAAACCTGCCGCTCTTCTTTGATGGCACAATCAACCCTCGTTTCTCCAGGCTCTTAAACCGATCCCTCACAAGAGTGCAACAGCCCTATTTCCCAAAAGATTACAATTGCGCAGGTTAGTCATGAAGCCACTAATGCTATCAACCCTGAGGATCTAGAATAAATGTGCTGAATAAAATACACAAACAAAAGTCATTACAAACCTTCAGCTGACGAAGTGAACCAGTTTTCTCTTCAGATAACAGGACTTGGAGAGGAGCAGGATCAAATCTGAAACAGAGAACAAATGTGTACAAAAAGAAACACTTTGTGCGGCATGCACATGCAAAAAAGAAGTTGATCAACCCATATGTACATTCAGTATAATCCAAATCAAATTCAGAAATATTCAGTTTGTAGTTTAGCATACTTAGGGCGTGCTTGGATACAAATATATCCGCTCAAAACGAGTTTTTTTTTTTGTTAACCAGAGTTAATTTTTAACAAGGTGGTATGGTTAGTTAGTGGAACTTTGAGTTTATATTAAAATAAATTTAAAATAAAACAATTAAAGTTGATTTGATATAAAAGTATGAGAGATATGTTGAGAAATGATGGTTAGTTAAAATTATGTGAGTGAATGAATAATGAATTAAATGGATGTATGTGTAAGAATGATTGAGTGTTATTTAATTATATTGATAATAGATAGTGGAGTTGAGTTAAAATTCAGTTAGATTTTGAGTAAGAATTGAGTGCGAATTAAATTATTTTATAAACAAAGGCACCCTTGCAAATCTACCGTATAACGTGAAGGAATGTGTGTTATAAGATTTCATTGGGGGTGGGGGAAGGAAAAAACTGGACAATCAGATGTCTCATAGGCAGTTACATACTTGTACTTTCCAAGGCGAGGTGGATGAGCCTTCAGTTTTTCTTGTTTAGCAATCATTCGCCGCAAATGTCTCTTGTCTTTCTCTTCATCCTCTTCTGCTATTTCTTGCATTATATTGGGTAAACTGATTGTACAACATGTGTTTGATCATTTGAAGTTAGTGAAATGCAAATTTAGAAATTATAAATGAAAAATTTTGCCACATAGCCATTTTGGCAACCTGTCTATGTCTTTTGAGAGCCCCTCAATTTTCTTGGCTTCAGCTTCAGCTTTCAATTGTTCCTTCCTCCTAGCCCTCCGATTCAACACGACCCGAGTGACCTTTTTGGTTTTATGAGGCCTGCAGGGTTTAAAGTTGGAAAGACAGAGATCAATACACAACATTGTGTGTATTCACTTCTGGTGTTCTAAGAGTGGATGGGGTTTCTTTGACGCAGTAACATTGTCGAAATTGCTATAAATTGACTGTCTCCATCATTCATCATCACAAGAAAATAATACTTTATCAAGATACCAAATCCCCGAAATATTAAACTAGAAAACAAAAACAACATGACCTAAGAACGCTGCTAGCCTTGTAAAAATGAAATATGAATATGAAAAGACCCAAAAGGAAAAAAAATGAAACAAAGATATATCGATGAATAAAACAGACCTCTTCTCCGAATCTTCATCTTCGTTATCCGTCCGATTTTCATCTTGCGCATCATCATCACTTCTATCCGCCTCAAGGAAATATTTCTGATGCAATGCGCAAAAGGGGATGGGAAAGTGCATGCACATTTCACAATTCATAATTAATATACTTGAAAATGGAAGGGGGTCATTTATTATGAAAGTGCCTAGTTTGGTAACAAGAGAATGAGACTAACATCTTCTTCATCAACTTCTTCCCCAGGAACAACCAGAGGAATAGGCTCGGGCCCCAACTCCTGTCGATAAATCTTCTGCATTTCATCAGCTACAGCACAAGCTAGCGCATCCTGCGTGCACCATCAAGAGGATATAAGCATCTATCCATTTAATAAAAAGTGCCAATACGCAAAATACTACAAACAAAAATATTAATAATAAGTATTATAAGAAAGAAAAAAGAAAAACCTGATGGCTATTGGGTTCAGGATTGAATGAGCATCCAGGAGGTTCAACTTCAACAGCAGGTATAATAGAAGACTTGGGTTTCTGTCATTAATAACTGTTAGTTAACCACTGAAGCACAGACGCTGCAAAAGATGTTATACAGACCTACAACTAATGATTATTAACAGAGAGGACTTTTTGCATATAGAATTGGAAGCTAACACAATATGTCACCCACATACATCTAAATGTTTTACACAGTTCCTAGAGAAACATTATTTGTGTAGCCTTCAATTGAATGACAAAGAAGTGCCAAAAAAGTGCAATGAGAATAGAAATACCTTCTTAATTTTGGCACTATTTCCTGCAAGTGTAAAAATCATGACATTTATTAGCTATGACACATGGAAATAAAAATCACCAAAAAGAAGAAAACTTTTAAACAAACAAAGTACCATTATCTTCCCATAAATCAACCATGCCAAAATCATGTCCACTCTCATTCTGCAATGAATGGGAAAGAAACATTATGATAAAAAGTTTAACCCAAGATTTCGCATCCATGAAAATAAATGATTGTCAGTTCTAACTTTAGCACCGCCCTCTACAGCATCTTCATGTTTGCCTTTTTGAACAGATTTAACTGCCTTTTTTGGTTTCTTCTTCTTCTGTACAGAGGAAGGAATGGGCTTAACAAAAGGGTTTCTCTGCAACACACTATCACAACGCAGTACTTTTTCTCTACTTTTCTCAATCTTTCGCTTGACAGAAAGATCTGCCAATATAAAAAGAAAACACATCAACCTTCATTTCACTTGCATTCTCAGAAGCATATGAAAATGCACAAACCATTTATTACGTTATTATAACTGAACAATGAACCAGGATCACAGGTTAATAGAGTAGCTTCACAACAACAAAAAAAAAATTATAATAAAAAAAAATAAAAATCATCAAGATATTATTGAAAACAAAAAACATCCTATATACAGATTGAAGAACATGGCTAAGCTGTTACAGAGTAAAGATCTCAGTTCAAAAAAATAACTATAAATACCAGACACATAACAAAAGCCTTACGCTTGAACCCGTTCGATAGTTATTACGGCAGCTCAGTAATCTGAGAACAAAGCAGAATCTTCTTGGAGAAAAAGTTTCATAAATTCATCTCATTCCTATAACTACAAGTTCCATCCAAAACAACCAGAACAGCAACCAAAATACAATATCTATCAAAATCCAAATACTGCAACATGTCGGCCCCATAAACCACATGAAAAAAACAAATATAAAGCTACTACCAATGACGATTTCTAATATGCTGATACGAACACTCATGTTATTCCTTCTGCAGGCAGGCAGTTCAAATTAACTGAAAATTGAAGCTCAAGTTCAAAAGTACCGAACAAGCCCTAATCCCCCAACTACCTACAAAATATGATTTCCACTAGAATCATAAACTTTCGTCAAAAAAGATACTACCATCCTATCAATCTATCATATCTTCAGCTTCAAAGCAAGATTATTATCATCAATAGCTGCTATCCACATTCTTCAACTCATCATTATATTGAAAAATTAAAAGGTGTTCGTCTGGTACCTCTGGACTTATCAACGAAAAACAGAGAATCGCTGGGGGCGTCGGCCAAAGATCCGCCTGAAAGGGTATCTTTTGTGGACTTCTCAAAGAAATCTTCAAAATCTTGGGTGCTTATATTAGCCCTCCACGCCTTTTTTCCTTTCCTTGAGCTCTTTGCTTTCCCCATCTTTGCTCCTCTCTCTCTCTCTCTCTCTCTCTCTCTCTCTCCTCTCTCTCTCTCTCTCTCTCAACAATGCGATTATGGTGATGACTGATGACAAACTTCTCACATCCAAATTTCGGAACCCTAAGCCCTAAATGCTAATTGTTGATGGCCCATCAGGTTGGGCCGGTCCCATTTAGTCTTCAAAAACTATCAGCCCAAATCTCCATCGCCGTTCAAATGAGAAAATAACAAAGACTTGACTATAAGTGTCCATTTAATTCAAAAAGGCGAATATTTTTGTGTCCATTTATTTTATTTACAACTCCATATACTTGACTTGAATTTCTTCAACAAAACAAGCTTA